ACTTAATTAACTATCTGGTTTAATGATAATAATAATTATTATAACCTCAACCAAAGTCGGAAATAACTCTCCGTAACCTAAAGAGAACAAAATAATTATTATGGAAATCATAAACACGGAAATAAGTTCCTGTAACCGAAAGACTGAATTATTAATCTTTTCACTTCCGTAACCCTTAAACGGAAGATAATAATAGTTAATTATGTAACGTTCAGCAACAGGAAAAATTATAACTATTATTATACTGAAACCTTTCATAATGGAGCGGGGTCGGTTAGCATGCTAACCCCCCTTAGGGGTTGGAAAAATGACACCCCCTAGTATATTAAATACAACTATAGAATTTAATACACACATTAAATACACATTAAGAATTAAATGCACCATATTAATTATTTGTTTTTTTTTTCAAATTAAAACCTACACTAAATACATTTTCTCTCACTATATTTGATTTTTCCTTTTTCAGCAGTCTCCGACCACCAGACTTCCTCCGACCGCCACACTTCTCCGGTGAAAATCCCATCGACACACTCCCTCCGACCACCTCCAAAAAATATACCACTGCACTGATACGTTGTACCACTGTACTGGTAGATATACCACTGCACTGGTAGCGATATTAGTGCACTGGTAGCAATGTCATATCTGAGTATCAGTGCAGTGGTACAAATACCAGTAAAGTGGTACAACATATAAGTGCATTGGTATATTTTTGCATGTGACCGGAGAGAGTTTGTCGGCGGATTTTACCGGCGAAGTGTGGTGGTTGGAGGAAACTTGGTGGTCGGAGGCTGCTCGAAAAGGAAGAATCAGAGATAGGAGTGAGAAAGATCAAAGATGAGAGAGAGAATTGTATTTTGTATATGTTTAGATTTTTTTAAAAAACAAGTAATTAATGTGGTGTATTTAATGCTCACTTTGTATTTAATAACAGAACATTTATTATGTTTATTTTCATTAATACTTGTTAATAATTAATGAAAAATTGACCAATTAAAAGGGGTGTCAAAAAACCAACCCCTTAAGGGGTTAGCATGCTAACCCGTCCCTATTTCTACTTACTAGACTCCATTTGGATAAAAGCCATAAAGGTTACAACGTACATCCTTAAATTGAGTATCCAGAAGGTAGTTAATGTAACCAATATGTGCAATAAGGACCTTGCATATTTAGGGTTGTCCAACTTAGGAAATACCTTGTAAGGTACAAGAAGGTATAATGGACAAAAGAATCAACTTATACTTTGTTGGATACTCAAAAGTACCCTCGAGGATATAAATTTTATAATCCCGTATCAAGAAGTTTTTTTTAATGAGAAATGGGAAATTTCTTGAGTATATTGAGTTTTGGGGGGAAGGAACCATATGGAAATGTTGTTACTGCACAAACTCAACAAACTCAAGAAATGCCATCAATTTGGATATCCACAAAGCAGTTGTATCTTCTTTGAACATAAGGATGACGTCAGGTTGACTGATGATCAGGTTCATATTAGTCTAGTCATGCACAGTTCTAGTTCTGAAAAGTGGATTGATGCTATGTGGTGAAGTAAAAGAGATATATAAGGCACGATGGTCTCTAAAGGCTTTACTCATAAAGGAAAGCATTGACTCAAAGAGACTTTCTCTCTAGTATATTTGAAAGACTCTTTAAGGAATATAATGGCAATGGTGGCTCATATAAGCATCTCATTATTGATATCACAATTCTTATATGATGTTATTAGCTCATTCAGATTTAGAGACTAATGTTGGAGATGATTGTGTATATCTTAAGTTCAGTGGGAGTAAATTTATTTTCCTGTTTTATACATCATGGTTGTTCTACTTAAGGTACAAGTAGAATAAGTTAGTAAATCAGGAGATGTGTTGTAGCTAAGGGAGACAGTTTTGTTCTCAATCAGTGCCCCAATTATATATAAGAAATTAATATACAAAATCTCCTTAATGCATATTTGCATTAAAGATCTAATGTATACTTTAGTTTATTCTCATCCCAATAAAGCATTTCTAGTAAAGAGTCTTTGGCAGATATTTGATTGATCTATGCATGAAACACTAGAAGGATTAAAACGTGTAACGCGTTTACTAAAGTTGATAAAAGAATTCATGCAAACTTGTTAGAGATAAGATAATTTAGAGATCATCAAGTACTCTGACTCTAATGTTACAGGATGTCAAGATAGCATAAACTTACATCAGGTTACCCTTCAGTTTTGGGTAGAGTTCAAAGCATATCTTGAGACTTCCAATTATGGTTGCAAAATTATTGTCACTAGAATGACTTTCGCTAGTCATTAAAGGTCAACTAGACAATAGTTTGATAGTGATACATTATCATTACCACAGATTCCAGAAGTCAAATTTATTGACATCAAGCTCCCGGTGGTTAAAGATAAAGTTCAAAATAGACAAGTTTGTATTGAACATTAAGGACATGACTAATGCTAGCTTGTCCATTAGCCAAAGGTTTGACACCTAAAGTTTTCCACGAGCACGTTGCTCACATGAGTGTTATTTCGGATGGTACCTTGGTTTAATGGGAGTCATTTAAGTATGTTCAATAGTTATGACTAAACTAATTTCTGCAGAATAAAGTGATGGTTTTCTATAGTCTATTTGAAAATTAAAGTTCCTTCAGTTATACAGTCATCATATTGTATGAAGGAATTTCAGTTGATCTCACTAAGGACTAAAGTTGGACTAGTTGAAAATAGACATGTACTATATCAATTTCCATGTAATTTTCATGTCACTCATCCACATTTTGATTTATGTCATTGAATGTATAAATATGGTGATCATGGTGATTTAATCATTACAGTGTTGTGATTAAAGCCGCCTTGGTTCCACTGCTATACATGAGATGGACCAAATTGTCAAGGAGTAGTCATTGTACGAATAACATACGGTAGCGCGCCTAAAGAATTTTGTAATATATGTGTGTGAAAATTAGATAGCCCAAGTGGGTGATTGTTAGGAAATTCATTTCCTAACCTAAGTGGGCCACTAATTTTAGAACACACTATATTTGTTATTTGATTTGATGGGCTAAATAAAGTGGTCAATACATTTCAGCCCATGACTACTTGAACCCAATGTGGGTCCAATGGGTGGAAACCCACATATAAGTCCACATATGGTGTTATGAGAGCCATGATGTGACTTATATATAAGGAAGTTGAGGTTGTAGTCCCCAATATACCAAGTTCAACACACACACATTCTCCACATCGGAATGCGTAAGATTGCCTTAGAGTGGGTTTGAGGGAGCTTGGTTGAGGAAGGCTGCGTAACCTCCTCGGTCGTGCACTAAGAGGCATCATCCGGAGATAGATCGTCATCATTTCCGCATCTAGCTTTAGACGATCAACAACATGTTTCCAGATATTTCGAAAACCTTTGATATCTGACAAGATGAATTTTCTAGTGAATTACATATGTTAAGTGTAATTCTAACAGTAAGGAAATACGTGCTAGCCGTTCTTCATACATAACTACATAACTAGATGAGCTGTCGTGCTTTGCTACGCCTATTTGAATTGCTCATTTTAATGTTCTGTTCTGCATACTCGTTGATGAGGTTTTATAGAGTTACCATGTAAATATTGTGTTTTATTTTTTTAGGTACTTTTAAATGGTAAATTAGATTGGAAATGAGAGCAAAAGAAAGTTGCTTATCAAGAATGGGATCTAATAAATGAGAAACTTATGTATGTCACAACTTGTGCAAAAATGATATATATATATATATATATATGTAACTCTATTTTCACGTTTTAATGATGGAGAGGAGATGGACAAATGGGTGGGGCGGGTATCTCAATATCTATAACTGTCCTACAGTAAGTGCAGGTCGGGTCGGGTAATACCCTTACGGGTACAGGTCAAGACGAGTCAACCCATTCTCACATATTATTTGAATAAAATAAACGCAAAAAATATGATAAAACTTAAGAAAATACTTCATGAATGGAAAATCATGATGATAGAATGAGTAATTGAGTCTAAATAATTGAAAGGTCATGTCTTTGCACCTGGTTAAAGTTTCATTGATGAAAAATATGGTTTAAATAGTAGTCAAAATAGGAAAAATACAAATAGATAATTGAGAGAAGACGGTAAAGAATGGCGGGGGACATGGCAGGTTGAAATTAGTAACCTATATCCTGTCACATGCAACTGCAGGTCGCGTTAGGTAAGGTAATACCCGGTAGGGCGGGTTGAAAATGTCATTCCTAATGGAGAGTAGTATTTTAAATCATTGAAAGATTTGAAGTCCATACCAAACACCTAATAAAGTATGTTTGGTGGAGTTGTGGAACTAGTTTATCTAATTTATAAGATCTCGTAAAAATATTGATTAGTGGTTAGTGGATTTAAGTTAAAAAAAGGTTGCTCATGTGAATATTGTTTATTAATTGTTCACAGTACTGTTTTGGGTTCTGAAAAAGGAAATTGCATGATGTATTTGTTTTGTTGTTTCCGTTTGGCAAAATACACTTTCATAGCCAAAACTTTAACGATTTTGCCAATAATAGCCACAGTTTGAGAAATAAACAAAACGTCCACTTCCGTTCAATTCTTTAACGGTGTTATCTAACATGATGACTAGACTAACGGAAATCCTGACCTGGCAACATTTAATTAATTAAAATGTGATGTGGAATTAACTGAAAAAATAAAAATAAACTAATTAATATTTTTACTTTCGCTCTCCCATTTCAATTTTCAATTCCTTCCTAACAAAAATAATTAAAATGGGCAGTTGAGGGGACGTTCCCAACCACAAACTCTCCGTCACTTTCATCGTCCCCAACGTCGATGGTCTCCCTTCGCCACCGTGAAATCTTCGTCCACTCTCTCCCTTCCCTCCTTTTCTTCCCGCAAAGAAGAGAGATTTCTAGCTTCTGATTCAGGAAACTAGCCGATAGCGAAACAAAGAGATCCAATAACTCGTCTGAAGCATTGGGTCGTTTACGGAGATTAGAGGGTGGTCTAGATCTGTTCTAGGAGACGGTCGGCCAAATTGGAGGGGGGTCTGGATCTGTTCATAGGCGTCGAACTCCTCCTCCTCTTCATAGCGACTAGTGACGGGTGAAGGCGATCCTCGAGACAGTTGATTTTGACGTCGGGATCTGAATATGGCAGTGGTGAGGTCCGACTGCGGTTGAAACCCATACTAGATTTCGCCTCTGCCGTCAAGTCCCAATCATCGATTTTGTCCGTCGGTTGAAACCCAAAACTCAATAAGGCTAGTCGCAGGCAGAGGAAGCAAGATAGGCTTGCAATGGACAATAGAGACTTCAATGGCCATCTATGGAAATATGGAACAGAGGTGGGTGGATCCAGAAAGCGATATTGGCGGTGAGATCGAAGAGTCATTGAGAGAGGGATGAAGAAGACGAAGAGGGGTTGTGGAAGGTCGTCGATTTCAGTCGGGAAGAAGAAGACTAAGAAGGAATCAACGAGCGGCTGGACAGAAGAGAAGGAGCAATCAACGATTTGAAGGAGAGGAATTGATTTGAAGGAAGAGTCGAGAAGGAAAGGCGTTTGCATTTTTAATTTTATTCTTCCCTGTTCTTCTTGGCAAGAGGAAGAAGATGGAATAGTTCGTCAGATTTGTTTTTTTTATTCAATTTTGTGATTAAATAAAAATAATTTTTATTAATTAAAATAACACGTGGCGTCTACGTGTCATCAATAGCTGAGTTGTCGTTGATGTGTACAATAATTTGGCATCCTAGTTAGCCTAACGTTAACCTAACTGATGGAGTTTCTAACACCATTAAAGTTTGTAATGGAAATGGCTATATTTGTCATGAAATTTGAAAATTCTGGCTATTTTGTGTATTTCTCAAAAAGTGGCTATTATTGTCACAAACGTCAAAATTTTGGCTACACAAATGTATTTTTCCTTTCCGTTTGGAATCCAATCATCTCCAATTACCAATCTCGTCTTCAAGGGTGGAAGAGCAGGCTTCTCTCTTTTGGGGAAGAATTACTCTCAATCCTCTACCCTCAACAGCCTGGTTGTTTACTATTTCTCCATGTTAAAAGCTCCCAAGACCGTGGTCGATCGAATTGAAAGAATCCAGAAAAGTTTCTCGTTGGGTGGTTCAAGCGACAAAAACAAGTTTCATTGGTTGGGATGTTTGCAAGGCTAATAGGAAGCAAGGGGATTAGGGTGGTTGATCTTGAGAGCTTTAATTCCTAGGGGTGTTCAAATGGTTACCATAGTTATTACCAAACCAAATAAGGCTAAATTTCATTAACCATCGAATACAATATCATAACTAAACCGTCCAAACTAATACAACAACCAAATTAACCAAACTAAAGTTTAATCGGTTTGGTTAATTGGTTAACCAGATTAACCAATATAAAATCACATTATCATTAAGTGAGAACGTTTTCGGTTAATTTATCAATTCACAATTTATATAATGAATAAAACATAACAATCAACACATAGTTATAGTTGACCCTTAACATAAATACATGCAACTAAGACAATTATCTTACGGTTAGTATAGAAGTATTCACCTAACAAAAATTTATCACAATGGTATGGGTTAATGAATTGTTGTATTTGTTTGAATTGACTTAGTCTTTTAGCGATTTTCATATGCTGAAAAGGACCTTACTTTCAAGTTTTCATCCAACATAATGTATGAGATTTATCTAAACTAGCGTTCATATGTTGTGGTCTACACTCTACATGTACAAATATACATTATAGGAACAATATCAAGCTTTATATTTTATGAGTTTAAAAGGGATGGATGTTTAACTCTTGAGTGATTATTCAAAGTATTAAGTATGTGTATATATTAGATATATGGCTAATTATTTATCTGGTTAATTTGGTTTGGCGGGTTAGGAGTTTCCGAAACCAAACCAACCCACCTAAACCAAACAAGCTAAGAACTTTAACCAAGCCAAACCAATTATCCAAATTAACCAAACCAAATTATCCAAATAGTACTGGTTAAAACGGTTACCATGGTAACCACACCGTTTGAAAACCCCTATTAATTTCGCCCTCCTCGGGAAATGGATATGGTGATATGCCACCGAAAGGTGGAGTTGGTGGTGCCAACTAATTGCCATCAAATACACTGATCAAGTTTCAGAATGGAGAACTCGATGCACCAGGAGAGGTTCTAATGCAAACCGGGTTACCTCATAAGATATCCATCGAGTTTGAAGAACATACAATGATTGTGGTCCGAAGATAAAGGCTTTAGAGGCTCGAGAAGGCATTTAAGGGTCCATTTCAAGCTTATTTGGCCTAGAAATTCACTGAAATGGAGGCCGACTTGTTCGTGGGACGAGAAGTGATGATCATCGGTGTTGGGGCCGTTGCAGACCAAATACCCGGTCGGGTATTTTGATAGGGTATTTTTTCTTAACCATAATACCCCCCCTGTCGTGACAGCAAAATACCCTGTCGGGTATTTTTGAGTCACGATAGGGTATTTTTGCCTTTGACAGCAGACGACCTATTTTCAGTTTCCTTTCGCGTATTATGTGACTTTTACTTCTAAACTCGGGTTTCTTTGTTATTTTTGGCCCAAAAACTTTGTAGCCTATATAAGGGGCTGAACTAAGTCTTTTAGAGGGTAATCAACAATTTTATTCAGAAATACAAACCCTAGAATTGGTTGTTCAAACACCAACTTCTCTTCTTCTTATTCTTTCTTGACTGTGTAATCGATTCAGCAAGAGGAATCTGACGTTTTCTGCTAGCTCATCACCCTAGCCGAATAGTCCTTCGTATATCAGACCCTCTTACCGACGCGTGGATTAGGTTTGGTTTATTATCCATTTTGTGATCGTTTCTTCTAATCGATCTTTACTGTGTTTCTGATTGTCTAAGTACAGGATTTGGAGCCTCGGCATAGATCAACTTCCTTTGATCCGGAAGGTTTCTGACTTCCTTGACATCCTATTCTTCATCGACCTTCTCTGCTTCCAGATTCTTTTGTGCCTCTTCATAAAGTCGTTGTAATTGCCTCCTATCTTCAGCAACCTCTTCCAACAATAATGGTTTTAAGGCAATCTTCCTTCCTTGATGACTAATGATGATATGATTGCGGCTATGATGTTGTCGTGCTTGGCGATCATTATGCCATGGTTCACCAAATACCACATGAGTCAGCCTCATAGGTACGACATCACACTGAATTTGATCCACATACGTCCCAAGTTGAAACTCCACATATACTTTTTCAGTCACATATACAAAAGCGTCTTCCATTGACAATCGCATAGGTAAGGGCTAGGATGTTGTTGTGTAGTTAGCCCTAACTTAGCTACTGTTGACGAAATCGGAAAAAACCTTGTTCGGGGTAGCAAACGACATTTTTTGGGACGAAGGTGGGACCTAACCACCTTCAGCAGTTTTTGGCTTGCAAGATCTCAAAAGGTTATGCGGAATAAATAAAAAAATCGCGACGATCGGATACCCGAACAGAAAGATACGTTCATTTAAAGTTTTTTTTTAGATATGTTCGTTTGAAGTTTCCACCTAGGTTAAGATTTTTCAAAAAAGAAAAAACAGACCGCATGGTGGGGGTGCGGTCTGCAACCAAACCGCATGGTAGGGGTGCGGTTTGCAAAACCGCCCCCCTACCAGTGCGGTTTTCATCGAAAAACGCGCCTCAGGTGGCGGTTTTCGCCTAAACCGCTTGTACGGGTGGCGGTTTTTGGGAAAGTGTGCTATTTTTGAAATTTTTCTGAGTTGGGTGCTATTTTTGGATATTTTTTAAACAGTGCTATTTTTGGAAAAATTCGCCATTTAGCATATCGTCTTGAAATACTGTAGGCGAAATCCTAAATTGTTCATCACCATCGTTTCTCAAGGCCGCTACCAAGAGTTTTGTATCGGGACCGAGTTTCATCCTCTTTATTTTTTTTTTTTTTGCTTTTTCCTTTTTGTTGAACATGATCACAATTGAAACCAAACACACGCGTATCCTAACTTGACCCAAATTATCTCATTTTTGCACCATTTCTCAACCAAACTCAAAATACTGTCGGTGGAATCCTAAGTTGTCATCTTCCATCGTGTGCCATGGCCGTGACCAAAGACTCATACTAGATATGCTCCGTCTAATCCTCAACATCTCTCAACAATTCACAACCTTCTCAAAACACTGTCAACAGAATCCTAAGTTGTCCCCCTTCATAGTTTCCCAATGTTGCAACCAAAAATCTATACTATGGTTTCGTTTCGTCACAAACTTTCGGTTGTCAGAAAGCCATGCAACTCTCCATGCTGCTCGAGTGACAGAAGTGAAATCCATCTCAGCTTCGATCTCGGTTTACCCTATGAAAATAGAACTTCTTCCGATGGCGGTTTGCTAAAGTATTGATAAAATCAATCGGGATTTTATCTGGGGGGCTCGATTAATAACCAAACACAAAGGTTGTAGAATGGAGAGTGGTGTAAAAGAAGGACTTGGAACTTTCCCACTTTCACTTGGAGGAGTGTGAGAGCCACTAATGAATAGTAACTTTTTTTTTTGACAAAAACTAATGAATAGTAACTTCAATGTTAGGCTTTTACCAAAAATTTATACCAAATCTACTCAATGTTGGCGAGTTTTGTATCGGGACCGAGTTTCGTCCGCTTTAGTGTTTTTCCTTACACTTTTACGATCCGGTCAAAGCGACTTGAAACCGACTTTAGTACTTATAAATTTATCTTTTTCTATTGGTTGGGAAGACAATTGAGCCCTGAATCTAAGGTATTGACGAGTGTTGTATTGTGAGCGAGCTTTATCCGCTTTTGTAGTTGGCAGGTTGTATCAAGTGTTAATTTGATAAAAAATTGATCAAACATATTTGAACAAGTTGTTGACCAGTTTTAGATCGAAAGCGAGTTTTGTATGCTTTAATGTTTTTCTATTTCTCTTTTTTTTTAGAATGACAATTGAACTCTAACCCATTGTTGATGAGTTTCTTATCAAGAGCGAGTTTTATATGCTTTTGTAATTGACAGGTTGGATAAATTGTGAATTTGTTAAAACAGGGTCGACCCGGTCAAAGCTAGTTTAACGCAGTTTTGAGGGTTTGGGGTCGTGAGTGAGTTTTATCCGCTTTAGTATTTTTTTTTCATCTTTTTCCGTTTGGTTGAGAATGACAATTGATTCCAAAAGCATGAGTATCCTACCTAATTCAACCCGATTAAAGCGAGTTGAACTCGGTTTTACAGGTTTTGGGCGTGAGCGAGTTTTATCTGTTTTTTTAATTGGCGGGTTATGTCAGGTGTGAATTTTCCCAAAACTCGGTTCAAGCAGGCCAAAGCGAGTTGAACCTGGTGTAACGACACAAATTCACAACCCATCTCGAAACACTATAGACGAAATCAATGAACAATAGTGTTAGAATATGACTTGAATTTGATTTGGATTTGTTTTGTGTTTGGGCCTATTTTGTTTGGGTTTGTGTTTGGGCTTTGTTTGACCTTTTCCTTGTATGTTTGAGAAAAGGTGTTCGGTTTTCTGTTTGAGATTAGGAGAAGAGTTCTATAAATACTCTTCATCACCCTA